TAATCCAAAACTTAGTCATACTCCTAGAACCCCCACGCTTAAAATAAATCATGAATCAGTATGATATTACTCAGTAATTGCGAATTTGTGAGCAATATTCTTAAATATCGTCACTTAACCAACATTGTTTCTGAGTAACCGACTGGGGCCGGGCGCAATATGATCATTACAGGTACTTGACTTAGCAATTTACTTGTAACTACATATAAAATACAATTTATGGGATATTAATAGACGGCAGGGCCTCGACAAAAATAGCGAGTCGTGTAGCATTACTTAATTACGAAGCGAGACTGACGCGTTCCGTCGCGAACGTTAGAAATTACTGGGCATGATTCAATTAAATTGTCACGAAGGGACTCCCGGTCTATTATTACGCTGCACTGCGTTTTACCGTTCATTTATTAACATAAAATTCGTTGCATAAAGTTCAATTTACAGATAATTTATATGTCCATAAATATCCGTTTCGATAGCGATTTCAAAGTAGCAAACAAAGATAAAACTTATTCGTATTGCTCCATATATGTCTGTAAGCTAAATACAAAAGAAAATGCATACACTATATCAGATTTTAGTATTGGTTCGTATAATAATAAATATAGAATGTTATGAATGCAAACGATAACAATAAAACTGAAGCACCACTTAATGCTACCTACCGGAAAATTTATTGTTTCGCTAAACTGTTTTACTGAACGAACTTTTATTCAAATAAAGCCATAGCAGAGTCAATGTTATGGCAACTTGAAAGATAACTTTGTATTCAAAAGCTTTTCAGTGTAGCGAACCTAACTCGAGATTCTTTTAAATATGTATCAAGCATTTGATTAATGTATCTGATTTTACTTACTTCCTGCGGTTTCAATCGCATATTTTAGTCAAGTATTAAATCGCGTGTCTGACTCTACCAATAACTTAGGTACTATGTGCCAACAAAATGATAAAACAGCGTCAAATTGTTTTATTAATCGTTTTCAATTATATTGAGGTGGATAGCTTTACAGAGCGAAGATCGTAACAGAAAATGAGTGATATCGCCGTCTGAGAGTTGTAATCCGCGCGTCGATAAATGACATGGCTCATTAAAGTAAGCGGTGCGCGGGAGCCGCGATGCTATCGACGGCTACTGGCGTTTATAAAAAGGCTAATAGTACCCCCGGGTCAACACGACACGCCACACCTGCCTCCGGAACATCTACGGCCGTTTAATAAATTAAACTCACATGCAAATTGACAACACATCTAACCCACTTTACTCGCAATGCTTTAGCTGTCCAGTAAGATTGATAAATCATAAAAATTCCATCAACGGGACGGGATCACAGAGTCGTTTTGTGGCACGCGACAAAAAAGCCCATTAGGTAAGCAAATGTATATTTTAATACAGAATAAGCGATAAATCTCGCGATGGGCTTTCGAATTCCGCGCAAGTCATCCGACGAGGTGAGATCGGCTGGGAAATACCACATGATATACGGTACAACTCACTTGCATACACTGATGGCGTGTCGGGCTATGCAGCGGTGGATTGGCTTATAATATCAGTTGTTATGAAAGGAAAAATGTTAGAAATAATGTTGGAGATAAATAATAAATGAATGTAAGAACAGTTGCGTCGGATTCCTGTGCGGCTGGAAGGTTCCGCATTGGCAGTTTTTGCGCGACGGGCGCCGCGGCCAACGCGCGCGCACGCCATGGATCGCGAAACGTTGCACTGCGACGCGACAGCGCGATTGCCAACTACATGCCCCTATATTATGATCGATCACAACGGACAATTGATTTTTAAAAATCAATGTCCTTTGAATCATGTAAAATCATAGTCAGATATTAAAAAAGTTTTCAGGCTATTTTTAGGACTGAAAGTCCTCAAGGAGAATACTTATGTAGATCCCAAATAAATAGCTGTTTCTATTTTTTCAAGAGTTTCGCTTATAATTACTAACAATCGGTTTTATATTATTAAACTAGGCACGAAACTCAGAGTATTACAATCGTTAGCAGAAATAACTGGTTCTTCTTGTCTGGCGATGGCCCGTTGGAAACGTCATGAGTAGCCAGTTGTCTTTAACAATTAACACTTATCGCCACGAGCTACGCATGGTGTGTACGTATGCATTAAAATTACCCATTCTCGTTAAGGTCGGCAGTAATATCACAAAACGAGGTATTTTACAGTCAAATTAACAAGTCTAGAAAAGGGATATAAGTAGCCGTTTCAGAAAATTCAATATTTACTCTAGCAAAATTTAATTATGACGCTTCTGCGAAAATTATGTCGGCCATTAAAGGTGTTTAGAATAGATTTGCCGAGCCTATATCAAATGCATTTTTGGTAATAACCTTAAGTGCAAGTTAAGTTATAATTAATATACAGTGTGAGTCACGTTAAAGTGTACATATGAAAATAGATGAAACTAGACCTATTTTTATCGACAAAAAAGAGGTCAAAAATTTTTTGAGATTTTTTTTTAATTTTTTATAGATTTTTTTTTCTTCAGATTACTTATTGTAAAGAAAACGTAATAACTTTTAAACTAAGCGGTATATCCTGATAAAATAAAAACAGCGATAATGCTAAATAACAGGCGATACTAAAAAAATACATAAAATACACAAAAAATGCCAACAAATAATAAAAAATGATACTTTTTGAAAAAAATGTGCTTAAAAATTCGTGTTTTTTTGGTTATTTGATAAATTTCTCCAAAAAATGCCCCTATAACAGGTGGTTTTTATTGTTTTGTATTATTCTCTATCGTATTACCTTTGTAAAACCAAAAATTGCATGTCTCTATCCCTATCACAACATTTGCTATGATAGTTTGAACAAAGGCCTAACACAACATTATTCTCCTCTACAGGTAGGGACAATTTTAATTTGAACTAAAATGCTTATTTTACTTCGGAATCTTTTGTTTTTACTTGAAATCTAACTTGTCTTTATCAAAATTACAAATCTAGAGCCATTTTCAGTTTTGTTGTTAACGAAGGGTTGAATGGCGCGCCCGGAGAGGCTTAGTTCAAACGATCATTGCAAACGTTGTGATAGGGATAGAGACATGCGATTTTTGGTTTTACGAAGGTAATACGATAGAGAATAATACAAAGTAATAAAAACCACCAGTTATAGAGGCATTTTTTGGAGAAATTTATCAAATAACCAAAAAATCACGAATTTTTAAGCAGATTTTTTTCAAAAAGTATCATTTTTCTATTCTTTGTTGGCATTTTCTGAGTATTTTATGTATTTTTTTAGTATTGCCTGTTATTTAGCATTATTACTGTTTTTATTTTATCAGGATATACCTCTTAGTTTAAAAGTTATTACGTTTTCTTTACAATAAGTAATCTGAAGAAAAAAAAAATCTATAAAAAAATAAAAAAAAATCTCAAAAAATTTTTGACCTCTTTTTTGTCGATAAAAATAGGTCTAGTTTCATCTATTTTCATATGTACACTTTAACGTGACTCACACTGTATACAGTTTTCTTTATAATACGTAATTGGAAGAAAAAAAATTCTATAAAAAATTAAAAAAAAATCTCAAAAATTTTTTGACCTCTTTTTTGTCGATAAAAATAGGTCTAGTTTCATCTATTTTCATATGTACACTTTAACGTGACTCACACTGTATATTATAGAATCATACTCGTACAACGAATCTATCATGCATTTGCATACTTTTGCTTTTAAAGAAATATCTGAAAGATGAAAAAGTCTTTTTAGCACTAAACCTGTCACTGACAAGTGGAACGTTAAGTATTATAAAATATTCTGCAATGACGAAATATTTTTAGAACTTGGTTCAATGCTTGAAAATAGAATAAAATTGCCTCATATAATTTACTTACTTCACACCTTAAGGCGTTTAACACTTGAATCTATAAAAATATAAAGAGGTACCAGTTGCTTGGGCAAGCTGTATGAGCATAGCAATCAACAAAATATAGTAACGGTATACAGGGTGGAAACAATAAGTGGTCTCATAGAGCTCGTGAAGTATTTTCAGGATCAGTGACCAGTTTTTCGATATATATATTTTTTTATCCACAACGAGGAAGCTCATGGCCTGTAAGTGATGATCAGGTCGAAGGTATATCTTGTATAGTTTAGAAATAAACGAGTGAGATCACATAGTTTTCACCCTGTAGATAGTATAATAATACATTTTATACCACAAACAAAAAATTTTCATTAAGTTTCTTGGTAAAAAAACTTTAAAGCTCAGGCAATTTATTTCACCAATATTTGTGTGCATAAAAGTTTCCAAATATTCAGGTCCGTGTAGAGACAGACGGAAATGAATATTAAAATTTGATAAAGTCAAAACGTTATCAATGACGTAAACATCAAGACGATTTTAAAGCTTACGCAATAAGAGCATACATCTTTGGCTATATCACTATCATATTTTTTTAGTATGACGTCGAGACCTTTATGCAAGTACCGCTTGTTGTTTGTGGTACGGGGCGGTTCGGAGAAACAAGGTAACCTGCGCCAATCGATACCGGCAATTTTCCTTATAAATTCAAATTTTTGTAAGGAAAATTAAAATAAGTCAACACACTGCAATAGTGTTAGTTTCTTTAAATGCATATTGAAGAAGTATATTATTAAGGACACAAGACATAGAGTCTTCGTTTAAGTTAAAGTTTATCATAATATCGTAGTATAAAATAGTTTTTTTTTAATCTCCAGCCGTAATTACCGGAGTTTGATTTTAAAAGGTAATAAAATTTAAATATGCAGACAGATTAATGTATATTTTAGAGAGTGCTGGTAGCTTCTTTGCTAGTATAAAATAGTTGAACTAGTCCGCGCCAACAGAAACTGGCAAACTTTGGAACAAATAAAGCCGATATACATTGACACCAAGCATCGATGTACTACTTTGATCGCATAGAGAAGTAATGCCTTTTTTATGACACAAAATTCATAAAATTGCCAGTTTATATTGGTCGGACTATAGTTTATACAACGTGGCTCAATCGTACCTTACAGATACAGCGGAAGCAGCTGCTAAAGTCTTGCTCTAGTCTCGAGTCTTGGAGCCGGACGGGCTCGCCTTCGTTGGAACACGGTGCTCGCTGGCCCTCTGGAAAATAACGTAACCTTTAATTATATGTACAGTAAGAGCCAAATTATATGAATTTCATTCATATCCACAAAGAAGTTGTCGAAAAAATTGAGAGAGAAAGACACGCGAGGATATCGTGCTTATGTATTTACTATACTAAATAAGTCTCCTCCTTTGTAAAAGTGCTTTTTAAAAGCCTATTTGCAAAAATAAATGAGTTTTTTTATGTAAAGCTTATTTTAAGCTCGGAACTTTTCTTTAGAAGTCTCTGCTAAGTCTCTACAAGAGTCTCTCTTATAATTATGACCATAGCACTGACCAATTTTAGTTACGTATAAAATGCCTCGGGCCGCGTACTTATTATAAGTACTTAGTTACATTAAAACATAATTTCTTAATTTGCACCTACTTAGGCCAGCCAGGATGCTTTCAAAAGCTCTCTCACTGGTTATTTTATTAGAAGCTAAATGACTATAGATCCTGATACAGAGAGAAGAAGAGGTGGAATTAGTCGTTTCAATTTGTCCTTACTGCCAGACTGTTACAGGCGTTATAGTGGTGGGAAAGAGATACCTAATTCTTATTGGTTCCGTTTCAAAAGCTGTGCGGGCCAGTGAGCTTGACTGGCATAGACAAAATTCACAGAATGCATAAACCTTACGCTAGCACTTGCGGCCAGGTGGAGTCTGGCCACGCAAGCATTGCGGGGGAGGCTGCGGTCTATGCAATACGCGTGGGAACACTTTCTGCCCTATATTACGCGCCGGTGCACTGAAGATATCGACTCTAACCGATAATGATCGTTTATGTGCTACGTCACGGCGAGACGCAGCGATAAGCGGTTGTTGTTACAACTGATTAATTGATCGAATACATAAAGGCGTTTATTATGTCTCGCGAATTGGAACACGCTTCTTGCTTTCCATTAGTGTTGATATTGAAACGTTAACTGTGCAGGACCTTTGAAATTATTCACGGATGTAGAAATTAACACAATAATACTTAGTTTTGTACATCAAAGCGTTAGTATAATTATTTAAACTGTAACCAAAGCTACGCCAGCTAAAAGTATTGTAGGAATCCATAAATACATTGGCATCCTGAAACCATAATTATACTTCCTTTTATCTAGATCCGTATCGAATGTAAATAAAGGCGATGACATTTGAATACAACAAAACAACATTTTATTGTGGAGTTTCCCCTTTTGCGAGATATTTGAGTTCATAGATGACATCGACGTACGACAAGCGGCAAGCGGATCGCATTATTACCTTGATTTAGATCTGCGAATCCGCATTCTTAATATTCCTAACAATCTGGCGCCATCGCCGGTCGCACTCCTGCGCAAACATTCTGGTAATTAATGTGCTCATCAGCGGAATGCTTTACGAGAACATTCCGTGCGTGTTTACCTACCGAATCACTAATATTTGGATTGTCCATGTTTTGACTGGTCTCGGTAATTTTTTTTTTTTTGATTTTGCGAATTTACAGAGTGATTTTTGAATTTCACCATAATTATGATTCAGTAGTATCTACCGAACGTTGGAAAACTAAAAACCTTGTTGTTTGAATTTTTAAATGAAGCGTTTGGTAAAAGCTACACCGTTAAATTCTATAATTAAGCTTCAAGATTTTAATTAGTTTCCTAAGGTCTTACAACTTACGAATACACATATCAGAAAAAAAAATTAAACAACTGAGTAATTGATTCTGTGTTCTGTGTATCATAAAAGCTCAACATGAACTTTTACGTGCGTATATTGATTACCAGAATAAGCCGCGTATTTACATTTCACAATAGCTATCTCATAGCAACCGGTGAGGTTTCAAGGCAAACGAATTTATAAATATTATCTGAATTGTAAATGAACAAATTAGATAGGTAATTCATATTGTTGGAGATTTAAATTATCTCGACTAATAAAAATGGCTTTCGAGGAACACGACATTCCTATTAAATTAATCAAGATTCTATACCGCGACTCGATTGCTAATTATTATTAGTTACAATGATTTGTGTGATCCAATGCTTGTCACGTACGGCCTCGTGGCGCGCTAGATGAGTGCGGTAGATAAAGATTTGCAGATAACCAATTACTTCTGTATCAATGTCAACGCCTTTAAATATTTGACCCTTGAAATTTGACACTGAGGTGTCAAAAATCCACAGCTACTTGTTCAGCATACGAGACCCTGCGTCGATCTTTAACTAAATTCATTACGACATCCAAACATTTTTTGTTGCATTATCGGAATACGATTGTTTATGTGTTGTACAAACTACAAAGACTTGTAAAAAGCACTTGAGTGAACCTGTCTAGAAATATTTGTGTCATCGTAAACTACGCGCAATTTGTGTCGTAGATACGAGTATAATAAAATAAATAGTTGTACATTATTATTTGTGACTCAGACGGCGTAGTATAGTCAATCGTTCAACACATTGAAATGTCATAATTTGTTATGTAAATAAACAAAATAACATCGTAACCACTTATGTGTAGGTATGCGGAGTACGAATGAACGTTGGAACTCAGAAAACAAGAACTATTCCATGTTATGGTTCTCTATGGTGTTGTGGTGACGCATCGTTGTGATGTTGTAAGAATGGCGATTCTTTAGTATTTTGAAATCTAAACTATACTGAAAACTTCTGAAGGCTACATAATGTAGCATGCTCCTTCTCTTTATATTACCTTTATTAAAATTGCCAATGTTATTTACGAGATGAAAACTTAACAGACATTGAAACATAATTACTTTGGAATTTATAATATTAGCATGGATGGAGCTTATTGAAAATTCCGAGCGTAACAATAACTTATGCAAACTATTTCAACTAAGTACATAGCTCTTACTCAATCTTCATAATTTTCAAAATTAACGTCCATCACGATCCGTGTACCTCCAAGTAATATTCCATTAAACTCTAAATGATATTATTCCAGCAAGTGACAAGAAATTATGCAAATAACAAAATATACGGGACTTTAAACACTTTACACGCAGTTCGTTGCGGCGCTGTATGTATTAAAGGCATGCGCGAAATGCCTATAAACTCGTTGTAAGTCGGTATTTATCGGTCATTTCGATAATGACAGCTAGATGAGGATAATTTTTCGAAAGTTGCTCCCGTATTAATGCTCAATCTCAGCCTCCGGGCTACGCATCTACTCATAAAATGTTGCCACACAAAATAATTTTATGTCTTCATTTCCCTCACGAATTATAATATTTATGATCTGATTCTTTCTCATACATATTTGTGAATTTATGAGCGCCCACAAAACTTCCGAGATCTGTATTTCGAGAAATTGCTTTAGTTCTGATTAATGTTGCTAGTACCTATCCATTTGCTTTTTTTGTAATACGAGTACACAGTTACTTACGACTATGCACTGACTCTATCAGTAGATACTGACGTTGTAACCTCAAAAACATGCATTGGACCGTTACATTAGAATACTGACATATTGGACATGCTCACCGCTACATATCTTGTGGCTTATATGTAGATGTGATTTAGAAATTTCCATACTTCTTATTCGGTACACAAGCTACATATGCACTTAAACATTGATGATGATGTAAGAAATGATAGGGTTGAAAATTGTGTAATGTATGGTAAGTACTCGTCTATTAGAAGTGAAATTTTATTTAAGAGCAATCGTCAGCACATTAGACGGTACTGTACTTAATGTTTTTCCTGCCGGTCCCATTATCTGTGCTTGATTTGATGTGTCGTTGTCCATAAATTAGATTCGATTTTAAGTGATATTTTTCCAAAGATAGATTATGAAATTGTATTAAAATAGGGTGCTATGCTTTATTTTTGTTAAAAATAATAATTTGGCATACTTTTTTACAAACATTTGAAAATTAATATCGGAAAAACAACTGCAACTTGCCAACCCTATGCCAGAGTTATGAGTACTTATGTCAACGAAACGTTCGTTGTCGCAGGAACGTCTCTACAGCGAGCGATGCGATGTAGGAACTGGCCGTCCGTTTCGCAACAGAAGACTGTCGCTGAACACGACTTGTGTAACCGGTAACTGTCGGGCGCATTGTCAAACTGCACGAGAAACTTACAGGATTATGACAATACGCCACTTGCGATACGCCACGTTGTGACAGCCGTGGATGAGTGAAATTTATTTTATTTATTTTAAACTTCCATGCCCTTAACACTGTACAAAAGATGGACTTATGCCAGTCGGCATTCTCCTCCAGTCAACCTTACCAAACTGAGAATAACGTAGGCGGTACAAAATTATAAATATAAAATCACGGGTTGATTGATTTTACTCCAATATTAGTTAGTTTTAAGTACCTATTTAATTCTTACTTAATATTTCCAGCATATTCTCGATTTTTCAGCAGATTGAAACCAAATAGGTCGATGCAAGGAGAGACATTTTTAAAAGTGAACATACCTAAGAAAAATCACTGTCTGAGAATGCGTAACTACACATAAGTATTAAAATAGGTTTTAAGAGTCTCGTAAAAGATGTTACAACAATTCTATGTACCTATATTAAAAGAGCTGATCGTCCTGTCATCCCAACTAATATTATAAATGCGAAAGTAACTCTGTCTGTCTGTCTGTCTGTTACGCTTTCCCGCTTAAACCTCGCAACCGATTTTGATGAAATTTGGCATAGAGATAGTTTGAGTCCCGGGAAAGAACATAGGATAGTTTTTATCCCGGTTTTTGAAACAGGGACGCGCGCGATAAAGCTTTTCTGTGACAGACAAAATTCCACGCGGGCGAAGCCGCGGGCGGAAAGCTAGTATCTTTATAAAACGGTGAGTATCTAAACGATTATAGATGAGCGACTTTGTTTCGTTGTTTATATTTAAACAATATGTAGACGAAATTAATTAATGCATTTTAAATTGCTTTATATGCAAGTTTCATTAGTTCACACTTAACGTTCTTGATGATATTGTTACGATGTCATACCTATTTGCAATTGTCATAAACCTATTGTCATCTGTCTATTGTCAAGGTTATGACATAGGTATTTGCCTAAATTACTTAGCAAAAATGATAGCTTTTATAAAAGCTCGAGTATCTTTTACCGTGGGTATACCTAGTTATGTTTAATTTATTATGTTAGTTCCGGCGCCGTCTTTCAAATCTACAGTTTCGTACGCATTTTCCTTAGATGCCCTAAATAACTATTTTAAGTCTTGATAACAAAAAAGAGCTTAATCATCACTGACCCAAAAATACGGCGCTAGTTTATTGACAGTCATCGCGATATCACTTGATAAACTTCATCATAGTTAGTCGCTTTAACATTTGTGGTCACCATGTTTGATTTTGCATACGCAGCATAAGGCACATTCCACAACATATCATGATATACGTAATACAAGGTAGAAAAAAAATAAAAGGATTGTCAGCCATGTACCCGATTTGTGTGGCATGTATTTGAGGAGAGACTGTACACCTCTCATTCCCACTGCTGCAAATGCTATTAGGACATGATCTACAGCTTGACTGTCACTAAAATCCCAACCAGTGAAGGTGCAGTTTATCCCAGAGGAGCCTCTTAATCTATACTGATTATCAGTATTTTTTACATAGGACAGGCTAGGGTGCGTGCTACAAAAATCTTATTGTGCTAATATAGATTTTACAGGACTATAATATTCCTTGATAAGATTATAATATCATAGCATGCATCTTATCCTTGCTGAGCCGTATCTAGCAGACGGTGACGTCTACTCACTAATGACGTCAGAGGCAGCGACGACAGCGTTGGTCAGTACAGCGACTAGCGCAAGTAGGCAGGCGGCGGCGCGTGCGGTGCGTGGCGGCCCCCGCATGGTCGCTACTCGCGGCGCCGGCGCCTGCCGCCCCGCCACCCTCGCATCACACCCTCGCGCCACGCCACTCGTGCGCAACACCTGGAACAAAAGAAGTTACAGTTAAATACTACGATAGCATACCTAAAATAGCCAGCAGCATTGAGTGCTATCGTATTTGCCCTTGCCAGTTAGCGCCACTGTAGATCATGGTCTTGTCATTCGCTAGTGGCTAAGACAATGGCGCCAACTGGTGACTGCTAACGTGGTAGGAGGCACAGTAAGATTCAGTCATGATTGGCGCAAACTAGTGAGCGCAAAACGATACTCCTCATTAGGAAAGAAAACAATAAGATGAAACTCAGTTTAGTAAATTGATGATGATGATTTCGACAATCATGGAGAGTTAGCATTTAAGCTGATATCCTTGGTCTCATGTTATAACCTCTAAGCTCTGCTCTACATCTAAACCCGGCGCTATAGTAAGAAATTATTCAGCTTTTCAGGTACCTTACTGAAAGTTGTAAAAAGCTCTATCTATTTCTTGCGAACATCTTACACACTTACTACTTATTGCTGAGCAGGTTAAGGCTTAGTTTATGTATCTAACATTAGTCACGTGCGAGCCCGCCGGAAAAGAAACCCGTCAGACTTATCCCTTAAAGGCCGTCGATAACGCTCAAATTGGTACCGACGCGTTAATTACTTCGATAGTAACAAAAAACTCGTCGATTTGACGTCGTGAGACGTAACGAAGTCAACGATCGCCGAATAATCGGTATTTATTGCATTTGTTTTCTGTGATACGAACGATTAGGGGTTATCAATCCGGATGTGTGTTGCATAAGACATAAATTAATTATGTGTATGAATTATTGAATTAAAATATGTATAAAATGTATGAAATGAAACAACTTTCTTGAGCTGTCAAAGTAGAAGTAGAATTTATTTTGTTTTAGAAGAAAAAGTAAAAAAACATTAAAAACTCTTTTGTTGGTTCTCAACATAGTCCGCGCGCGGAATGCGACACGCATTACAATTAAATTAACATTATAATGATGATAATACCTTCTTGCAATAAATTGTTTAAATGAAATAAGAAAAGTAACATTACAATAATAATCAAGACATTTATGAAACCTACATTTTAACAATCTCTTTTAAATAATTATCTATCTATGTATAAAATTGAATAGTCTAATAGTAGGTATTAACATAAGCAAATTAAAACACACATAACACTTAGCATTAATATGAAAGTAACTGAATAATAAACAATGAAATAATTATTCGTGTTTTTGGAAATTGAAATTAATAAGCTAATGTAATTAAAACAAGACTTGGTTCAAGTTTCCTCACTTGTATAAATGAAAATATGTTATAATGTAAAAGTAATGAAAACCATCCAAACTATATTTATGAATGGATCAGAGTCACCAAGACCCCCATCGAGTTTGACCCAATGTATGAAAAGTTTTTGTATTGTATGCATGAAGACCTGGCATGACGACTAAGGCCTGATTACAAAAAGAAGTTTGACTATATGAGTCTACAGTCTTGACGACATGATGCATTATTGTCATATTTTGCCTTTGTGTATATTTAGTGGGAAACAAAACCTTTGAATTATTATTTGGATGAGTATGTACAGATTCACATGAATGTTTATTTACAGTGTTGGATGCATGCAATAAATTAATATTATGTACAGGTTTTGAATGTTGAAATGAATTACAATGTATTAAAGAATTATGCGAATTCTCTTTGCATACGGAACATGTAAAATTGTATCTACATTTTTGTGCATGCTTATTTAAACATATTTTGCATAAATTGTAATTATTTACATGTGAAAGCCTTTCTGAAAGCGTCATTGATAAAAAAGTAGGGCATTTGTACAATTTGTGATAGCTATTTTTACACAATAAACAGGGAATCATTGTTGATTTTGCATTATTACAATTTGGATTAGGTTTTGTATTACATGTTTGAATATGAAAAGACATTGAAGCCCTTTCTGTACGGCTCGTGTCACAAGCCGAGCTAGCCTCGAGCGAGATAGCACGTCTCTCTAGAAAACTCAGCAGCGACTCCATACTGGGCATGCTACGAAAGTCCTGCTCTGCATTAAACAATCTTACAGTCAGTAAATCTAATTTTTTCATTATAACGCAAACCAATATGGAGTCCCAGCTTTCAACAGGTTCATCATAGCTACGTAGCGCGCTCATTTGCTGCGAAATCTGTGACACTAAGGAACGGATGGCCTGGGCAGTGCCACGCGTAATGCTAGGCAGATCTAAAATAGCACTAATATGCGTTTTAATCATTAGTCCCTTAGTGTCGTATCTCCTATTCAACAAAGCAAGAGCGTCATCATACGACTGGTTTATGAGAGGCAAATTATTTACAAGATTTAAGGCCTCGCCCCTTAAATAGCCCTTTAAATAATATAACTTTTGTACATTGGATAACTTACAGTTTTTGCCTATTAATTCCATGAAAAGCTCCATGAATGGCTTGTAAGTACAGACGTTGTTACCGTCAAACGATTGGATTTCTATTGGAGGCAGTCTCGTGGTCTCGAACAGAGACGTCGAAGCGTCCACGGCACTCGCAAACCCCAGCGGCGAAGCACTGCTGCGGCGGTCCAGAAGAGCGTCGATCCGGGAGAGGACATCGTAATAGCGCTCCTCGAACTCCTCTTCACCGTCCAACACCTCTTGGCCTTGCAAAATGGCCTCGTCCGCCAGCCGGTTGTAGCGCGCGAACGCTTCTTCAACTGCCTTCCGTCGGTTCGTCAGTTCAAACACACTCGGGTCTGACTTTTTGTCCAAAAAAGTAACACATCGTGTTATAGCGGCCTTGCATTGTCCTTGTAATAGTTTGGTTTTATGTTTATTAGTGTCACCACAAACCTGGGTAGCCATAATAGGTACCTACTGCAATTGGCAACTATGCCGGCGTTGGCCCTCGGGATAATTTTCTAGCAGCTCACAAAAAAACCAATGTAATCGATATATGGGTTTCGGCACCAAATTTATGTTGCATAAGACATAAATTAATTATGTGTATGAATTATTGAATTAAAATATGTATAAAATGTATGAAATGAAACAACTTTCTTGAGCTGTCAAAGTAGAAGTAGAATTTATTTTGTTTTAGAAGAAAAAGTAAAAAAACATTAAAAACTCTTTTGTTGGTTCTCAACAATGTGTACGCGAATTTTACGACTTCACTCACGAGACTTCCTCTATGGTGAACTGGTAGAGAGAGTTTTGGTTCGACCTTGTATATCCGGGTTTAATTGATTGATGATTGTAGAGTTTACAGTAATTATTATTACCTGGAAAGTTCCCAATTAAAAGATAGTAAGCTTAACTCAAATAAATTTTCAGTTTAAAAAATATTCTCTACTTCAAAAAGCTTCTGTCAGAGCACTACGGTGACACCATTAGCCCAAATAGGTATATGTTTGATGCTAATCGAACTCTTAAGATGTGTGCTATATAATTTTGAGCCATTAGATTCCTTATTTTACACAATAATAAAGATTCTAATGACTCAAACTGACATCTCTTAATTTTTACAGGCCACGCGTCCACACGCAAAAAAGATGTTTCATTTGTTTTTGCAATAATGATACAAAACAAATGCTGATGATTGATAAAGCAGGATGCAGATGCAAGCGAGGTTTACGAGTACGGGCTACGTCTCGGGAGCTCTCGCTGACCCTTGGATGACCGCATGTGGGTATCACGTTTGGCTAGAGGTAGTACACCACACTGAAGTTTTCGGACATTTTGAACTTGGTTGAATAAGACTGAAAGCTGCTTGAAAGTGGGTATTTAAAGTTTTATGGAGAGATCCTTCTGCTCCGATAAGTAAAATTTTTCTATAGGTTAATAAATAAATACCGAAACGTAACAGCTAATTGGCTACTTACATTAGGGAACTTTTAATTCGAAAATATTTGACAAAAACAATTCACTTGACTTGAATTTTGAAAGATTAGAATAAGCATTGATGTATGTAAAACGGAATAACTACATTATTCATCATTTACGATAAAATCTTTAAAGTGTTAGTAAATACCTTGGTATGCGTTATTGTCAAAATAATAGTTTATCTCGCTTAGCAGATCAGTATTAGTGCGATAACATTTCGTTACATCCTGTTTGAAGTCCTAAATCTTCCGAAAACCTGTTTACCCTACACTTGGCCCAGATATTGCGAATATCCTCAGTGCAACGGTACCTACCGACATGGCGTTTACGGCTGTGTAATATAGTCACTATCACATAATACATTAGCAAATAATGAGTGTTGCAGATCACCATGAAATATTTAATGATACACAGGTCTATACTTTACAGTGGGAGCCATGTTATCTCTGGAATAATGAAAAATAAATCATCTGCTTCATAAAATAAATCTTCACTATCTAAAAGGCATGCAATAAAATATGTGTTATTGTTTTTCTCCAGCTATAAATTGAATTCAAGTCGTCAATTGTAAATGTAAATAAAGCTTTATTGCCATAGAATGTATCAAGTTCAAAGGTTGAAATACGTACTAATTAAATCAACTCACACATTCGCAATACTAATTTTAAACCACGTTACAAAAGTAGATACATTTTAAAATTAATTTATTCGTACAGACGATAAACAAATTCTGGTAACATTATCAGCGGGTCTCCACTGTAGTGGAACTCGTAACAAGGAAACGTCAACAACAAAATCCTGTAATCAATAAGGATATTTTTTAACAAGCACGTTTCTCGGATCACGGCACAAATAATTATTAAAGAACTAATCAGCGAATTGACGACCCCGAAAATTCCGGTACGGTCAGCAGAACAAACTCTACCCTATTTTAATACTACAATTTAAACTTTATACTCTTGCAAAAAGGACAAACGGAGCGAGTGGGTATCGACAGATAATTACCTACGATCGGTTCTAATAGAATACCGAACTAACGTCCTTAGCGCATTTTTTACAGCATACCGCGAGTGCGTTGACCTTCTACTCGGACATATTTATTCATTAATAATAACAGCGTGGCGTGGAGCAAAAAGTGGTTCATATTATCTGCGT